TTAACCATATGCCATATATTTACAACGATTGACTCAAACGGATCACAGACCTAAATATAAGAGCTAAAACTTATAAAACTCTTAGAAGAAAATATAGAGGAAAAGCTTCATGATATTGGATTTGGCATTGATTTCTTGGATATGAAACCAAAAGCACAGGCAATAAAAGAAAGACGTAGACAAATTGGACTACATCAACGTGAAAAACTTTTGTGAACCAAAGGACACTATCAGTAGAGTGAAAAGGTAGCCCATAGAATGGGAGAGACTAATCTCTTGTAACATTAAGGAATTAATATCCATAATATATAAGGAACTCCTATAATACAGCAACAAAACAAACCAACCAATTTAAAATCAGGCAAAGGGCTGAATAGGTATTTGTCTAAAGATGATACATAAATAGCCGGCAAGCATTTGAAAAGACGCTCAATATCACTAATTATTTGGGAAATACAAATTAGAGGCACAATGATATTCCACTTCATACCCATTAGGATGTCTATTATTAAAAAACAAAATTAAAAAAACACACCGCCCCTACAAAAACAGAAAACAACAAGCATTAACAAGGATGTGGAGAAATTGGAACCCTTGTACATTGCTGGTGGGATGTAAAATGGTGTAGCTTCTATGGAAAACAGTATAGTGGTTCCTCAAGAACTTAAGCACAAAATTGTCATATGATCCACCAATTCTACCATTGGATACATAACCCAAGGAATTAAAAGCAGGGATTCAAACAGATATTTATACATCCATGATCACAGCAGTATTATCCACATAACTAGAAGGTGAAAACAACCCAAATGTTCAGTGCATGAATGGATAAACAAAACGTGGCATATATACAAAATGGAATCTTATTCAGCGTTAAAAAGGAAGGAAATTCTGTCACATGCTACAACATGGATGAGCCATGAAGACATTACGCTAAGTGAAATAAGCCAGGCACAAAAGGACCAATGTTGTGTAATTCCATTTATATGAGACACCTGGAATAGTCAAATTCATAGAGACTTAGTAGAATGGTGGTTGCCAGGAGCTGGGTGGGTAGGGGGGAGATAGGAATGGGAAGTTATTGTTTAATGGGTACAAAGTTTCAGTTTGGGAAGATGAAAAAGTTTTGGAGATAGATGGTGGTGATATTTACACAAAAATGTGAATGTGTTTAGTGCCTCTCAACTGTACACCTAAAATTGGTTAAAATGGTAAATTTTATGTTACGCATATTTTACCACAATAAAAAGACGGGTAGAGGCTTGATCACTGCACTGTACACCTGAAGCTGATGTTGTATAATATTGTATGTCAACTATAAGTGAATATATATATAGTCACAGGATGTGGAGTATAGTGTGGGAGTGGAGTCAATGGAATTGTAATAGATATGTATGATATGGAGGGAGTGGGGCGGCAGATTGGGGGAGGGGGATGTCACTTTGAGGGGTAAAAGTATAACTATTGCACTGTGTTGTACATCTGAAATGAATTTAAAATAAATAAATTAATTAATTAAAAAAATAGAGGCGTGGAAAACTAGTAGAGTCAATATATGGAATAAAAAGGAGGAAGGAATGCAGATTTTTCAGAGAAGAAAATGATTAGAAAAATTAAGTTCTAGGTTATGTAGCTTTTTTCTTCATGTTTGTGATTCAAATGCAAAGAGAGACAAAAGATCAATATATTAGCAAATGAAACTTTTTAACTGTGAAATTTAGTCAAAAAGCATCCGTGTTGTGTCAAGATTAGAGCCAATTTGAGGAACTATTACGATTCCTTCATGCTTTTAGATTTTGGAAGTTGTCCCAACACATTTAAATACATATTTTCTGAAGTACAAAATAAACCAGTATTACAAAGTGGCACAAAATTTGAGTAGAGAGGAATCCAAAAAATATTTATGAACTACCTACTCTATGTTAATATGCAAGGGGCAATCTACCTGAGAGAAAGAGCAGTTGTCCAGTGGCAGACTTTCTTGCCAAAGTTTGTCCCAATCTCCCTGAAATTGCTCAATATAGCTCAGTAGTTGAGTTACACAATTTTAACATTTCTGGCAGGTGTAGGTGGGTAATGGTAAAGGATAGCTAAATATCATGAACATATTTACCCCTTAAACCTGTTTGGTGTGTTCCAAAGTTTGAAAATCTGATGAAAATCCATGAACAGTACAAGTGTAGACTTTTAGTGTGTGTGTTTTGGAGGGGCAATTAGTGCCAGGGTGGGGATGAAGATTAGACAGAACTAATCGGTAGAAAGTATCACCTCTAAAATCCTAGTCATGATTCTACAAACCTCTCTGTGACGCTCACTGACCATTCCTTTGCTTTGGGGACCCCCGATCTTTGGTAGTTTATCCATTACTTATGAATTATAGGTGGTAGAGCTAAAAGAAACCTTAGAAGCCATCTTGAAGGATTTTCCTATTACTTTATTTTTACATTTAAAAAAATGATTAACTTGAAAAAAATTTCCTAATATTTAATGCCGGGAAACTTCACTCTTAAAGAAATTGATGTACTTTCATTGCCAGATAATGGAAGTTATGCAAAACATTAGGTTGTTTACAGTTAAGTTTACATATCTACATAATGACCTTTATTGTTGTTTTCACTACCTGTGTGTATATGCACATGTTTATTAAAAACCACTTCAAATTCTCTTTAGAAATAGACAAACTGAGCCTCTCATTTTAAAGAAGAAATAGGTCTACAGCAGTTAAGTGAACTATCCAAGTTTAAGTATTTTTGAGTTTGTTGTTTGTCTGAGCTCATCAACTGAATTAAACTTCTCATAGACAATGAAAAGATCTTTTTTGTTCTCCTGAAGCACATAGTACAGAAATGAAGAAAAGTGGTGATAATAAATACCAAGTGAATAAATGCAAGCTTCATATATGCTTGTCCCTAGGGAAAGACCTGAGAGATTGATATTAATGCACAACGCTGATCGGATGATACTGTCTTCTGCTGTAGGGACTTGACATTGGTTAGCATGGGGTGGGCTGGTGGAGGGAATAGCCTTTTATCTCCTGAGCTTCTGTAGAAATATTTATAATTTTAAACGTTCTTAAAGTAGATAGAACTCAATCTTCACATGTGTGCAGTGAAATTAACATCGTCATATATCACTGGTGGGGATAGATGGGAGAGCAAGTACAATTCGGTACATTTCTGGAGGACAGTTTGACAATATTAAGTGTTCTAGTGCTTCAGTGTTCATTAAAAATAGTTCATTCTCAAGGGCCGGCCGAGTGGCTCAGTTGGTTAAGAGCTCACTCAAGAGTCTGAGCTCTGAGCAACAGCGGTTTGAGTCCTGGCCCAAGCTGAACAGCCACTGAGCTGCCAACAGGTGGCAGGATGGCTCAGCTAAAAAAAAAAAAAAAAAAAAAAAAAGTTCATTCTCACTGGCTCAGTGAATCCATTTATAGAAATTTACTCTGAGAAAATAATCAGAGACACAGGTAAATTTATAGTCAAATATTTTCACTATAGTGGTATTTATAACATAATGTAATGAAAATAATAGTATATAGTTATATGTGATGTGACAAACATAATGTTTAACAGTATAGAAATGGCTAAATAAATTATGGCATAGTTGTAGGTTAGAATACTTATTTCATTTCTCTACTATGTTAACCTTGTTAAATATTTTAGAATATATGTATATATATATCTATATATATAGGTATATATATAGATATCTATACTATTCAAAAAGCATTCAAAAATATTAAAAAAACAAAAAAGGAATAAATATACCATGTTAATTGTGATTTCTTTGAATTGTGGGGTGATAAGTAATTTTATATTGTTTCTTTAATTTCCAGTTTTCCTTTGATGAATATGCTTTTTTAAAAAGAAAAAAAATCATAATTAAAAAAATAATTAGCTCTCCGACTTCCTAAATTCAGTGGACTAAGTCCAGGCCCCAGCAAAGAGGATATGAAAAGGGACTTTTTTTCAGGGGTGGGGGTTGGGGGGTGTTGTTGGGCACATCGGTGTCACCAGAAGTCCCTTTCTGACATACAAAGATCTATTACCTCTAACTTTTGGAGGTATTACCTCTACCTGTGAGGGCTGTGGCTGGGGAGGGCTGGCCATGCAGGGTTCCAGGTGAAGCTGAAAGAAGTAGCTTCTTTCTTTTATGCTTCATGTCCATGCCATAGCATAAAATTATCACAGAATAATAATACCGCTATCTGTAGAGAATGATATAGTTTTCAAAGTGTATTTATATATGTTGTAATTCACTGCATTGCCATGATTTAGAGAGCCTGACATGACAGGTGAGGAAACAAATTAGAGAAGGCATGAGGATTGTTCAAAAACACACAAGTATCTTCTCTAGCTTGTCCAAAGGACCTTTCCTTGTGTCCAGCACTTTCAAAACACAAGCTGACTGAAATACCCTTGCCTTTTTTTGGGTGGGTGGGGGGGCGGGGACGACAACATAAAAGATGGATTATAACCACTGTGCTGTATACCTGAAACTAATATAAAATAATATTGAATGTTAATATATATATTTATAGTCACAGGATGTAAACTGCAGCAGAGGGAATATATTCAATGGTACTGTAATAGCTATGTACAATATCAGACGGGTAGTAGACTTGGAGGGGTTATCACTTTGTGAGGGGTGTAAATGTCTGATCATTATGTTGTTATGCTCACCTGAAGTTAACTTTAAAAAAGAAAAGAAAAAAAGACAGATTATAAGCAATACATAATTATTCCTCATCTCTTAACTCCTAAAATGCTCGCACATGCATACAGTAGCAGTAGTTTTTCCTCTTGAGTCACAAAGATATAAACTACACCAAGTAATAAGGATTTATACTGTGGGTTCAAAATGACTTATCATTTTGTATAACCACTGCGTTGCCACATAAACACACACCAGGTACACACTAAGCAGCAGATATCTTGGTGATAGGAATGAAAATTGATGGTTTTCCTTAAGAAGAAAAGGACACCAGCAGGTGTACTCACCAAAAACCACCAATTTGATTTGTCTGGTCCTTTAGAGGATGTAGAACAAGAATATACAGGAAAATTCAAACAGCTTGCTTGGGATTTCTCAGTTCAATTTTTGAAGTGCTCTTTGAGGCAAGTCCTAAGGGGTAAAAAAAAAAAAAAATTGCTAGAATTGTTTTCTACTTCAATATAATTTTCATTCGTGCATTACTAATTTGGGGCCATTTTCTTTAAAGAATGGACTACCATTGCTCTACCATGCTCTCTACAAAGCAAGAAATGAAATCCTTTATTCCTTTTCCTATCCTTGAACAGGCAATAGTAATAAGAAAATAACCAATTTCTTCTATTTGTTGTATTTTTCCCTCTGTCTTCTTTAGAGCACCCATGACTTCAAGATGAACACAATGTTTAGGAAGGGATACAGGTATAGCCTATATTTCATGCTTATAGACCCTTAAAAAGAAGTGGTGGTGCCTTTACTGGATGGTAATATCTAGCTCACGGGCTGCCCCTCCCCACTTGGGGGCTTATGCTACCCATCACTAGTAGAACATCATCATGCTTTTTCCTGCTGACTCCAGAGAGGGTCTCAAAAACCTCTGAAAAGAGAACTGCCTTCCACTACGAGCTGATCAGAGTTGCTATCAAAGTGATTTGATTTTCTGCACTAAGATGTGTAGTTAACACTGCTAAGGATGTTCTCTGCACGGAAAGTCCTACAAATAATAGGTTTTGGGGTCCGAGGATAATCTTTAAAGTCAGGAAATAGAAAATATTCAAATTTAGGAGACTTAAGTTCAAGATAAGGGTATTTCAGATGAGACATTCAAATAGATCCTAAACACAAAACTTTTACCTTTATTTCACATCTGGAAATATAACCTGTCCACCTTTAAGACTATTCTCTCCCCACTACCGCGAGCCCTCATCGAGCCATCTAAGATTCAGCATGGCACAGTGGCTGCAAAACCAGACTCACGGCTAGAAGACTAGCTTTAATTCTAGTTCCGCTGTGTCTTGTTCTGTGTTCCTAGGCAAATCATTTCACCTAGATGAGCCAATAGTTGCTCCCTGAAGAAAATAAAAGGAGTTGGATTACCAGTAGTTTTCAAACTGGTTTTTAATTTTTGTTTTGTTTTGCTACATATTTTTTTAAGGTGTAGCATCCTTTCTTCCACCAAAAATTTACCTAGATGCAGAAACAAATAAAACCGAGAAAACAGGAGCTGACGGAAGTAGAGATGGGGGAGTAATAAGGGGAGGTACTTCCAGCTCACCACCCATTCTGCTCCATAGTCCACTGGGGATGTGTAGGAACCCCACAGGATCTTTAAGACTACAGATAGCACAGTTTGGAACCTGCTGATAAATGGCCTCTAAAGTCTGTTGCAGCTCCAAAATTATTCTGCTGTAACTATCTGTATACTGCAATGACCGACAAAGCATTCAGTGGGATCTAACCTGATGGGAACACACACAATAAAACTAAACCATGAGCTGAGTTTAATAATGATTTACTGGGGGGAAAAAAGGTGCCACACCCTCAAATAAATAGAGAAACAGCTGTTGAACTATTTACTTCTCAAAGTTTATAATCCACACCCAAGCCTGTGAGGATGATTTCCTAAATGCTGCATCTTGGATAACACCTAATGATGAACATCATAGTGTTTGATAAATAAAAATAAATGTATACATTACAAGGTGTGTTCTGAAATTAATTCTACCCTGTTGAGGCAATAGAATAAACTTTAGACTCCCACACTATTCATTTATTCATTAAGTGAATCCAGACAAATTATTTCAACTTTTCTGAGCTTCCATAAAATAGAGATAATTTCTTACAGAATTATATGGAGAACAGATAAAATATTTACAAATCATCATTACTGAAATGTATTATTTGTACAGATTTGTGAGTTTTCATTCTTTGCATAATGCCAAAATTCCCCCCTTTAAAAAAAATCATGGTAATGGACATGTAGACTGAATTGAAAGCAAATTATTAATACGTAAATGAAATTATAGGTTTCATGTAGTTTTGTGTTATATCTTCACGGAGGAAAGAAGAATTACTGATGTTCCTCTCATGGCTATTCAAGCAACAGAAAATTCCCTTAAAATGAAACACTTAGGTTCAATTCTTTGTTTCTAGAATGACTCCACATTTCGTAAAAATTTTAATATTGTTTTGTCATAAAAAAATCTTCAACCAAAACCCATATGCACTTTTGTCCTGTGACTTCACATTGCCCCAACACAATATTAGGTACCCCAGGGCACAGTTTGAGAAGCCCAGCTCTAGTCCAAATCCTTGATTTTACTATGGAGGAAACTGTCATACTGAAGGTCACATAAATAGGTACACTAAGACATGTGGAAAAGTTTCTAGAGAAAAGAAATGGTTTCCAGACAATGGGTTAATTAATTCACTCCAATCCTCTCACCAACTCATTCTGTGAAACAGCTATGGGTGTTGCTCACTGTAGCATGGGGTCTGTATGAAGACCAAATGGGGAAATTTTCCTGCATTCCAGTAGAAGGAAAAAGCTACTCTACACAGAATACTTGGCTTGTTTTTATTTTTTTCGGGCATAAGAATCTTAGGAGTTGCTTATGTGCCCCTCTAACAAATGGTGGGATCTGACTGCAAATGTTTGTTGGACTTAGGATGCCTGTAGCATCATCTTAATTTGCCTACCCTCATTTTTTACCCTCTCTTCTTGTCATAACAAATGTGGTTTTGAAAGCTACATTTTTGGAATGAGGCAGGGTATAAATAAATACATGAAGTTAATAAATGTATTTTTCCAAACAGATGCTCCAGTTTAATATCAAGTTCCATGCACGTTCCATTTGCTTCTCTCAACTCTCAGTCACAAACCTCATCTAAAAGTAACTTTCTCTGGGCCGGCCGAGTGGCGCGATGGTTAAGAACTCGCTTGGGATGCCAGAGGCCCCGGTTCGGATCCCACATATGAGGGCCAGTGACACTGCCCTCTACAGCTAAGATGCTGAACAACAGCTCAACCTGGAGCTGGGCTGCCATGAGT